GCGCCCGCCCTCCCGGCTGAGCCCGGCGCCCCGAGTAACCCTTGTCCCGCGCGCTGCATCTCCCCCTCGGTCATCACTCCGAGGACCTCCCAGATCTGGGGGCAGCGCGGTCAGTGGCTAGAAGGCCTGGGCTCGAGTCCCAGGGGTGCTGCTCGCCCACTGGGTGCTGTGAGCAGAGTGCCCTTCCCTGAGCCTCGCTTGCCTTGGCTGTAAAATGGGCGCACTGCTAACAGTCGCCTCACGGGGTTTCTGTAGGGTGAACTGGAGGCGTTTCAAGCAGTGACTGGCGGGTAGTAAGTGCTCAATAAATGTTAGCTGCTCCGCCGCGCGGATTTCTATCAGGGTCTCGGGGCCTGAAGGCAGCTCTAGTCTTTTCCCACGGCGCGCGCTCCAGCTCACCTTTTACGCAACTCGCTGATGTCGTTCCCTTCGTGACACCATCCCACCTGGGCCCCAAGCAAACCCCTCGTAGACCTAGTAGACCTGGTGGGACGTCTCCCCTGATGCCAGCTTCATTTGCACGGTCCGGGCTGTTGAAGCGCGCGCGTTGCCGTGGGAAGGGCAAGGGGCGCGCAGCAGGGCCTGGACCTGGGCGCAGCGAGTCGCAGCAGGCGCGCCTCCGGCGGCCGCCCTCGCCCTGCGCGACCCTAAGGCAGCCTGTCGCGCAGTCTGCTGCCTCTTCCCCCAAGGCCTGGCTCCCTGCAGGCGCTCCCGAGTCCACTCGTGGCGCTGCGCCTTCACCTGGCCCAGAGCGACGTCTCCGCGGCCGCACACCCTGGTCCCTAAGCCCTTCCCGCCGCGTGGCGCGCCCTGTCCCTTCCTTGCTTCCTCCCCCACTGATGTCAGAGAGAATGGGGGGGGAGCCACATGAGAGAGACGCCGACGGGTTGCCTGCCCCACCCGCCCCTACACCGCCGGGGAACGAACCTGCACCCCGGGACCCTTATGCGCGGGGGCCGACGCCCTACCCACGGAGCCACACGGGGAGAGGACGGAACCCGGGTTATAAAGAGGGAGCCGGACCTGGAAGGGCCGCAAAGTCGAGTTTGCGCCTGAACGTGACTTCCCCCACCCACTCCTCGGGCGCTCGCGCGTCCACCTGCGCCTTGGGCCGCTCGCCTGCGCTGGTTCTCACACCCAGTGACCCACCGCCCCCCTCATTACTCAGTGGGTGGGTGCGTTCACCCGCTGCCCGTTTACTTATCCAGTCTCCCTCAGCCCACCCGGGCATCCGTGCACGCGACAGAGGGGCAGCTCCAGTGCCCGGCGCAAGGCCGGGTGTCCAGGGAGAGCCTCGGAGTGAACAGCACCCGTGCCACGAATCTCACTTTCTACCACTGATCATGCCTCCATGCCACTCATCTTTTTAAAAAATTCTTTTTTTATTTGTCTAAATACGTCTTTATGGATTTTAGAGAGAGGAAGGGAGAGGGAGAAAGAGAGATACATTGATTCGAGAGCAGAACACCGACTGGCTGCCTCCTGCACGTCCCCCGCCAGGGATGGAGCCTGGAACCCAGGCACGCGCCCTGCAGGGAATCCAACGGGTGACCTCTTGGTGCACGGGATGGTGCCCAACCAACTGAGCCACACTGGCCAGGGCTCCATACCAGTCTTTTTTTTTTTTAATTTAAAAATGTTTTTATTTATCTTTGTACAACAATGTTAACATTGTATTTATTTTGCTGTAAAAAGAAAATTCCACCTTACAGGAAAGAGGAAACTCCTGAAGACCACTTACGGAGTCTTTACTTACATATTAGAGCGGGTCAGGGGGCAGTCCTGGGCTTTCAGCCTGTGGCTCCATCGTGACGCTGATGAGAGGCGGTTATTTACCACCGCAAGTGCAAGTGGCAACTTGTACCTGCAGACGGTTTCCACTCCCAGGCCAGAAACCCAAAGGCACCGTCTCCTGCCACACAGGCGACCCGCTGTCCTGGGTTTCTACCTTTAGCCACTCCAGCGGCTGCAACGGCAAACCCCAAGCCCACTCCCACTGCTCCCAAAGTGGCAGCGTCCCGCCTGCGGGGGAAGGTTTCCCAGCGCGCAGTATCTGCCCCTCCCGCGCGGCAGCAGCCTGGGGGTGGCTGCTCCTGAGGTGGCGGGGCGGAATAACCCACGCGCAGGGAGCTCGGAAGCTAACGCCCTGGGGGCAGCTTCATTGCTCTCCATTTTCCCTCTCCGTTTGCCGCCGGCTGCTCTCTGGAGGAGGCCGCCATGGTGTTTGGGCAAACTGTTCTAAAAGCTGTTGAGCGTCGACCTAGGATCCAGGCGATCGGGGTTCGATTCCAGGTCAGGGCACAGGCCTGGGCTGCGGGCTCGATCCCCAGTCGGGGGCGTGCAGGAGGCAGCCGATCAATGACTTTCATCATTGATGTTTCTCTCTCCCTCTCCTTTCCTCTCTCTGAAATCAATAAAGATATATTTTAAAAAAACAAACAAAAACTGTTTAGTGACAGCATTTATATGTCCTAGCAAAGTCACAGCAGGTCTTACATCATTGCCCAGTTCTGCACAGATGTCACCAGGTCTCAGTGCCTCCTCAGTTCCCCGGCTGCAGGGCCTCTGTGCAGCCAGGCTTCAGGGGGTTCCGAGCACTGGTGGTTCTGTATTTTAGTTCTACTTTTGATGTGGCTGCGGGAGGCGGCGGGTGCAGCAGTTACCTACGCCGCCAGCTTGGTGCCTCCAGCTGGTCACTTTTGCCAGGTGCTTCCCATGCTATGTCAGATCATCCCCAGCAGCCCTCTAAGACCTGTACGGGAGTTTAACCTGCGACTTCAGGTTAGAGTCCGTGTGGTTCCGGCCTCCGGGTTTCTTTTCCCCACGGTGGCTGTGTCTTAGAAACAACGAAACCACCCCACAACCTCTTCCAGTTTGTTGAGTCAGGACTTCTGGGTTTTACTGGCTTTAGTTTCCTCTGTCACTTCCATCTGTAAATGAGGAAGAGGTAGGGGAATGTTTAACATTTAACAATTGCAAAACAATTTACAGTTTTCGAGGCAGTGGTTCCTTTTGTCTGTCACCCACAAAGGCTCTGAGCCCCCAGGATGTCCTCATGACACATCCAGCATGGTTCCCGCTTTCTGTTCCTGCTGGCCTGGCTAACTGCTCACCCTTCGGGCCTCGGATTGGACACTCTTTCCCCTGCAAACTCCCGCCCATCCCACCGTGCTTCCCTCGTGCCTATCACACTCTGAGGACTTAGCACACTGTATTCTTTTTAAAAAACATTGATCGGCTGCCTCCCGCAAGCCCCCTGCTGGGGATGGGGCCTGGAACCTGGGCGCGTGTCCAGACTGGGAATCCAACGGTGACCTCCTGGTTCGTGGGCCGATNGTTTAGTGACAGCATTTATATGTCCTAGCAAAGTCACAGCAGGTCTTACATCATTGCCCAGTTCTGCACAGATGTCACCAGGTCTCAGTGCCTCCTCAGTTCCCCGGCTGCAGGGCCTCTGTGCAGCCAGGCTTCAGGGGGTTCCGAGCACTGGTGGTTCTGTATTTTAGTTCTACTTTTGATGTGGCTGCGGGAGGCGGCGGGTGCAGCAGTTACCTACGCCGCCAGCTTGGTGCCTCCAGCTGGTCACTTTTGCCAGGTGCTTCCCATGCTATGTCAGATCATCCCCAGCAGCCCTCTAAGACCTGTACGGGAGTTTAACCTGCGACTTCAGGTTAGAGTCCGTGTGGTTCCGGCCTCCGGGTTTCTTTTCCCCACGGTGGCTGTGTCTTAGAAACAACGAAACCACCCCACAACCTCTTCCAGTTTGTTGAGTCAGGACTTCTGGGTTTTACTGGCTTTAGTTTCCTCTGTCACTTCCATCTGTAAATGAGGAAGAGGTAGGGGAATGTTTAACATTTAACAATTGCAAAACAATTTACAGTTTTCGAGGCAGTGGTTCCTTTTGTCTGTCACCCACAAAGGCTCTGAGCCCCCAGGATGTCCTCATGACACATCCAGCATGGTTCCCGCTTTCTGTTCCTGCTGGCCTGGCTAACTGCTCACCCTTCGGGCCTCGGATTGGACACTCTTTCCCCTGCAAACTCCCGCCCATCCCACCGTGCTTCCCTCGTGCCTATCACACTCTGAGGACTTAGCACACTGTATTCTTTTTAAAAAACATTGATCGGCTGCCTCCCGCAAGCCCCCTGCTGGGGATGGGGCCTGGAACCTGGGCGCGTGTCCAGACTGGGAATCCAACGGTGACCTCCTGGTTCGTGGGCCGATGTTCCACACCCGATGGGCTAGATTTTTTTTTTTTTTTTTTTTTTTTCAGGTTGTTTGGATTTTACCGTTGAGCTTAAAGAATATTTTGCACATTTTGAATAACAGTTCTTTACCAGAAATATTTATGGCAAATATTTTCTCCCAGTCTGTAGTATTTTTTTGTTATTTTCTTGACATCTTTCACAGAGCAGAAATTTTAATTTTAATAATATCTAACTTATCAATCTTGGATGCCTTTGGTGTTGAATCTTAAGAGTCATCACCATACGTAAGGTCATCTAGGCAGTCTCCTATGTTGTNTGAGAATTTTTATTATGTGTGGATATTGGCTTCTGCCAAATATTTTTGCTGCATCTATTGAGATCTTCATAGTGTTTGTTAACTTGTGAATTACATTGCTTGATGTTTTAAAATGTTAACTCTTTTATATATTGTTGAATTCAATTTACTAAAACTTTACTGATTAAAAAAAAGAGAGAGATAGAGAACGTTTTGAAAGCCTGTAATAAAAGGGTTTGATCTAACCAGGGAGATCTCTGATGGCTTGGCTAAAGAAGTGCTGTGAGATCTGAAAATTGAGCAGACATTAAGTAGGGGAAGAGGGGCTGGAAGGGTGTTCTAGGCAGAGGGAACAGCATTGACCAAAAGTCCAGGGGAGGAGGACTGTCCTAAGGGACTAAAAGTTGTGAGCTACAGTCACCTAGTGGCCACACGTCTTTCCTAGATCAGAGTCGAAACTCTGGACTCACTACAGGTCCGAATAGGAAAGATGGTCAGTGTGGTCGAAGCCGAGAGTGTAGAGACGAGAGAAGTGTAGGAAGGTAGGGCTGGGGCGTGGGCCAGGCTGCCCTTGTACGTTATAATAAGGCCTGCACTGCGCATCTGCTATTCAGACGGAAACTTGACAAGTATGGTCCTGGCTCTCGGGAGCACTAGAGTCCAAGAAGGATTTTCTGCAAAAGCCTTAGATAAATTCTCCGAGTCGGCCTGCATCCCCCTTAACTTGCATTAAGAATTTATTTACTTTACTTCTCTCCAGGGGAGAAATACAGCAATAAAACACTGTGAACATTGTTCTCAAATCGGGGTGCCCTTTTCTTAGAAACACGACATGAGAGTCACTTCTGTCGTTTGCCAAGGATCTCCAAATGCCCCCCACTCGGGGCATGACTCTATAAACGAGCTAACTGGCCTCTGCGAGTTGGCCCTACCTGTGCACTTCACAGCAGGCTGAGATCCGTTACCCCAAAAGCCCAACGGGCACCAAGCTCAGATGTTTATATATCCAATTATTTTAAACAAAGCCCAAATATGTAGATTTTTAAACTAGGCAGAGCCTGCCTGCTTTGCCTACCCCATGGAGTGGCACCCCGCAGCTGCTAGCCATAGGTAAACCCAAAGACAGTACCTCCGAGCGACAGTGCCTAGACACAAGGCCCCTCTCTGACACCCTCTCCCTCTTGTCCCTTGCCCCCTTTCTCCTTCTGGGTGGTGCTTCCCCTCCCCCGCCTTTGCCTCTGGAAGGTTTCGTGCCGCAGGGGAGCTCCCCACACGCACACCTGTCAACGCCGCATCGCAACTGCAGCCTTGTAGTAGGGCCGCCCTTGCTAGCCTTTGTCTGTTCTGGCTGGACAATGAGTTGTCAATCGCACTGACAAGTGTCGCTTCCAGGATGGAGCTTTAATCCCAGGAACTCCCGCCCCCTACCCAAGCTTTCTCTTCTCTCTGACCAGGGACCAGCAATGTCTGGTATGAACTGGCCGGTTCACCCGTCTGGGTGCCCGAGGGACAGAGGCGGGAACACAGTCCCCTGCCACACGTCTGTGCTAGTCTTCCCGCCCCTCCCGGCCACGAGCCCGGCCACGTTCCCCTCTGTGTGCGCCCGTCTCAGTCAACTTGGGCTTTTATCACAAAATGCCGCAGCCTGGGTGGCGCAGGGGACGATGCCTGACCAACTGAGCGACACCAGCTGGGGCCCAGCCAGGGCACTCGCTCGCTTTTTTTTAATCCTCAACTGAGGATATTTTTCCCATTGCTTTTAGAGAGAGTGGCAGAGAGAGAGAGAAGCATCAACGTGAGAGAGACACATGGGTTGGCTGCCTCCCATGAGGTACATGCTCTTAACCGAAACTGAACCTGGGGCCCTTCGGTCTGAAGGCTGATGCTCTAAACATGGAGAAAACTGGCCGGGGCCTCACTCTTTCTTTAAATGCAGTTTTTCTCATTCCACAGCACCTCACCTAAAATTTCTAAAGCTTAAATTTTAAAAACAATTTAAAGTGATAAAGTTAACTGATACAAAATTCAGCAAATTTAGAAAACACATTGAGCAAAAGGAATATATGTCTATACAGGGGTGGGGGTGGGCAGAATAGGTTTACATTGTGAGTACACGAAACACAGAGTTTTTTTGTATGTTATTAATCAGTGTATTATTTATTTGTATTACAACTGTAAACCTACTTTTGCCCACCCGTGTGTGTGTGTGTGTGCGTGTGTGCGTGTGTGTAGTGTCCCAAAAAATATATACACACTTTGAATATAATTATAAGGGTTGTGTTTATTAGAGTACATTTCATTTTCAATTAACAGCTATCAGCTGTTAAAGTGTATATATAACCCTGTATGTATATTTATATATTGGCTACAAGTTTACTACTCAGGGAATAGTACTTTAAAACACTAGATCGCAACCTTCTAGAAATTTCCATGTGGATGTCAGCTCTCCTCTATCATCTGGATCCGCCATCTAGGTTGTTTCTACATCCCTGTAGAGCCTCAGCCAGATGTGGAACACGGCTCCTCCAAGTTCCCCTGAAGGGCCTTTTCCACCAAGGGCCTAATGAAGAGGTCGGCCTTGCTGAGGATTTCACAGGAGATACTGAGGGAACAGGTCACAGCAGAAAACTGACAACTTTTTATTTATTATTATTATTATTATTGACGTTTTAGAGGAGGGGCGAGGGAGGGAGAGAGAGGGACATGGACTTGTTGTTCCATAGATTTATGCATCATTGGTTGACTCTCATATGGGCCCTGGCCAGAGATCGAACTCTTTACCTTGGCGAATCAGGACGACGCTCTGACCCACTGGGCCACCCGGCCAGGGCAACGTTTGTCTCCTTCAAATTGCTTTTCTGCCATGCTGCCCACAAGGGTTCTTCGTTCTTAGATCTTCTTTCAGGGTCTGTTGCCTCATCCCCCCAGATTCTCCCTCCCTCCCCAATGTCCCTGCAACGTCCTGTCTCCGTCATCAGCTGTGTCCCAGCTCCAGCCCTCCGACGTTCCGGGGGGCGGGGGATAACCAGAACTTGTCCACGTCACTTCCACTCACGCCCTGTTGGCCAGAGGGACCAGCCCTGGGAGAGTGAATGTAGTTGCCATTCTGCCTGCCACGGGCCAGCTGATTCTGCTGTCGTGTAGAAGGGGGTTATGAAACCAAGAAGCAAGTTCTCACTCTGCGAAGATGTCAGGGCTGGGCCACGGGCAGGGCACTGAGAGTCAGGCCTGTGGCAGTGGCTTGAGGGGGCTGCCAGAAAGTCATCATTTCCTCATTTCGACGGGAGGCAGAAGCCGTGGGTATCTCCAAGAAGAGGCTTAGAAACAGAGCAACGCTGCTACTGCACACCCAGGAGCTGAGAGAGGACATTCTGACCTGACCACAAACAGCAAAGCTCAAGGAAGATCCCTGAAGGAGGGTCGGGGCCACCATGATCCTCCCACTCCTGGCCCTGTTCCGTCTTGGTGAGTCTGCAGCAGGGCAGGCGCCTGAGGGCGGCGGTGCGCAGGGCTGTGGAGGCAGCTGGACTTGGGGTGACTTGAGGGGTAGGTAAGGGGGTCGGACGGGTAAGCAAACAACAGGAAGTTTCATTTCCTGAATACCTACTACATAGGAGGAACGTGTTGGGTGCTCTACACACATTTTCCCCTGTTGCCCAAATTCAGTCATTCCTGAACTTCCCAGTGACATTTTGCCAGATGTGTGTCACACATCTGTATACTTTCTTCTTTTTTTGGTTACTCCTCACCTGAGGACATTTTTTCCATTGATTTTGAGAGAGAGAGGGAGGGAGGGAGTGGGGGGGAGAGAGAGACATCAATGTGAGAGATGTTGGCTGGTTGCCGCCCACACACGCCCAGAAGTGGGGCAGGGGACCTAACCTGCAACCCAGGCACGCACCCCTGACAGGGAACGGCCGTCGTCAAGGAGATGAGATGACGAGTGTAGGAAAAGATGTGGAGAACAGGGAACGGCTGGCGGGAATGTAAACGGGTGCAGCCACTAAGGAAGTTGTTCCAAAAGTTAAAAATAGGGCTACCACATGACCCAGCAATTTCCCTTCTGGGTATTTATCTGAAGGAAAGAGATATGTGCGTCCCTGTGTTCACTGCAGGATTATTTACGACACTGAAAACATGAAAACAACCTAAGTGTCCATCAATGGATGAGTGGCTGAAGGCCATGAGATCTGTCTGTCTGTCCACCTATCTGCCATGGAGATACACAATGCAATATTGTTCAACCAGGAGAAAGACAGACATCCTGCCATTTGCAACAATGGGGATGGACCTTGAGAGGGCACCATGCTAAGTGAGATTAGTCAGGCAGAGAGAACAAATACTGCCCGTTCTCATTCACATGCGAATCTAAAAATGTTGAACTCACAGAAACCAAGAGAGGAACGGTGGCTATCAGGGGCTGGGTGTGGGGGCAGAAACGGGAGATGTTGGTCAAAGGGTGCATACCAGCTTCCAGCTACAAGGTGAGTAAGTTCTGGGGATCCAGTGTACAGCATGGTGACTGTCTTAACACTGAATTGTGTATTTGCAAGTTGCTGAGCAAAGTGTCCAGATATTGCCCAATGTCCCCTGCAGGGAATCGCTGGTATAAGCTAGACCACCTACAATGATGTCTAGAAACACATTTCTTAGGGCCAGTTTGATCTAGAGCTTTGAGTAAGGCTACCAGGTGGGAAGGGTGGGGGACACATGCTTCACTCTTCCAAGTCATGTCAATTTTGGATTTTTGAGATTTACTCTGGAGCACCAAGGAGATGACTCACAGCCAACTGCAGTGTCAGATACGTATTTAGGCTGTTGTCTGAGAGCAGAAAGAAGTATCTCAGAGCAAAGGACAGTTTTCAGCAGCCAGATGGTCCTTGTCCCAGGGTGGGGGTCTCCCTGCCTCTTTCTCCCACTCTCAGTTGATGTGGATGGGGATGGTGGTGTGCTGAGAGGGGGTTTCGGGGGAGCACTGCTACTTCTGGATCATCAAAAGTCTTTGCAAATGACTCTCCCTGTTCAGAAGGCTTCAACTCAGTCAACACGTATTTGTGGAACATTTGCCAAAATCTGGGCACAGTCCTAGGCACCAAGGATGCATTCTCTGCCCTCGAGGGGCTCGTGTTCTAGTGACTCCAGACATCCTAGGAGCTTTCCCAAGAGCACGAGGAATAATGTGTCATTAAAATCGAAGTGTTTTCCCCCCAAATTCTGCCACCATTGATCTCTCTCTCAGTCTCGAAGCCACGGCACCAGGGGAAGGGGTGGGTCCTATGCCCTCTACAATGTGGGCACATCAGGAGACACTGGGGTGACCACTCAGGGTGATAGAGACGTTCAGGAGAGGTCTAGTGTCCCTTGTCCTCTCCTCCACCATGAAATCTAGGGACAATATCCCAGGATATGGTAGGAGAGTAAGATGGGTAATGGATGGTGATGGGCCAGAGGGCAGGGAGAGTGCGGGAGGGTACAGGGGGATAAGTGGTGATGGGAGGAGATGCAACTTGGGGTGATGAACACACAGTACAATATACAGGTGACCAACTGTAGAGCTGTACACCTGAAACCTATGTAATTTTATTAACCGAGGTTGCCCCAATAAACTCAATAAAAAAAAAGGATGTCCAATGGGGAGAAATGGGTAAGTTATGGAGGAAAGTGGCAGGGCCATCAATGTCATGGGGGCACTACGACAGGCACCCGGGATGGAGATCTGGGACAAGTGAGAAAGGTAGGACACTATGTGGCAGGCTCCCCAGAGATGTCCATGTCTTGATTCCCGGAACCTGTGAATGTGTCTCTTTATGTGGCAAAGGGGAATTAAGGTGGCAGATGGATCCAAAGTTGCTAATGAGTTGACCTTAGAGAGATGATCCTGAATTATCTGGTTGGTCCCAACGTTATCGCAAGGGTCCCTAAAGTAGTCAAGAGGGAGCAGAAGAGGAAGTCGGACTTAACCAACCACGGCTGGGTATGAAGATGGAGGAAGGGGCCACAAGCCAAGGACTGTGAGCGGTTCTAGAAGCTAGGAAGGCAGGGGACGGACTCTCCCCTCAAGCCTCCAGAGGGAATGCAATCCTGCCAACACCCTGATTTCAGCCAGTGAGACCGGGATGTTGGATTTCTCTCACCTACCAAACTGCACAAGGATACATTGGTGGTGTAATAAGCCAGGAACCAGGTGGTAATTTGTTAGAGCAGCCTTAGAACACTAACAAGATGCAAATATACGTCGGTGCCAGTTGGGGTCCTGGGGAGGGGGGCGGCTGGGACTGCTGGGGAATGTGATGATGAGGGTCCATTCTCAGCAAAAGCCCTGGACGGTCCCTCGGGGACCAGGTCAGGGTGATGACATGGGCTCCAGGCTGGAGCTTCTGTCTCATGGACAATTCCTTTGCAGGGCTGTGTGTTGGCACAGAACTAAGAAGAGACGGTGAGTGTTCCTAAAGTGAAACCTTCCTTCGTCACTCCAAATTTCCCGCATCCGTCGTATCCCTTCTTCGTTTAGAAGAACAGGTGAGCAAACCACTCAGCCCTGGAATCTGCTTCCTTCCAGAGTCACTCCCCAAGCCCTCCATCAGTGCCTGGCCCAGCTCCGTGGTCCCTGCCAAGAGTAATGTGACACTGCAATGCAATCCTCCCACGGAGGTCAAGTTCAGGGAGGTCAACTTTGCTTTCAGAAGGCAAGGAGATATCATAGACTCCCCGCCATCTCCTGGTTCCCCAGAGGGCCTGGTGGAATTTCAGCTCACTGACCTACAACACAGTAACTCTGGAGAGTACACCTGTGACTACCACAGAAAAGTGAGCCCCACGAGGAGGTCACCAACCAGTGATGCCCTTCTACTACTGGTGACAGGTGAGGACGGGGTGCTTAGAATGACACAAGTTCCTCTTAGGACAGGGATGAGAAAGGATCCAGAGAATGAGAGTGGAGCGGGGGTCTCATTTCCACTGTAAATGGGGAGTCGGTGATGGGGAAAGACAGGAAACAGAGTCAGGGCTTGTAGGAGGGAAATCTCCTTCCTAGAGTCAGAGCAGAACGAGGGTGAGATCAGGTGTCTGTCACTTCCCACACTCCCTGAGAACCCTGCCAGGACAACAAGTGTTGCTGAGGGGGGACCCAAGGCTGCTCCACATGACCTCTGAGTCTTCCTTCCCTTACAGGAGGGTTTCAACATAAACCTTCCCTGCAAGCCCTCCAAGGTGGTAAGGTGTCCGCAGGAGAAAATGTGACTCTGCAGTGCCAGAAGCCTGACCACGTGACTGAGTCTAACATGTTTGCTCTACTGAAGAAAGGAATTTCAATGCCCATAAAGCACCAGAGTCCAGTAGGAAAGGAGACAGCCTTTGTCCTTCGAAATGTGACAGTCGGTGACACTGGGGACTACAGCTGTGTGTACTACCAAACAAAGCCTCCTTTCTGGGCCTCGGAGCCCAGTGATCACCTTGAGATCTGGGTGATAGGTAAGGTTTTTACCATCAGGACAATAGCTGGCTTATCTGCCAGCTGACATTGTGCCACCTGGAGAACATCAGAGGGAGGTTCTGTCCCTACATGACCCTGGAGCTTGGGGGAAAGTCACTTGGGGAAAAAGTAAGTTAGGGCCAGGATCCTGTGGAGTGGACAGGACCTTCTGCTAACAGGGAGTGTGAGCGGTGCAGAAGCACAGCAAAGGAGGCCGGGGGATCTGTAATACCTGACCCCACTAGGAAAATAAGACATAGCCCAAAGTCACTGCCTGGCAGGTCCCCATTCATTTAGAAGACATAGTAAGTTGGACCTGCTCTCCACAGAAGGGGCAACTTAAATACTTCTGGGTTACTCAACTGCTGGTTAATAGTGGTTTCCATTCCTCAATTCTTGGCACAGGAGGAATCTGATGAGTTTCTTACTCGATGGTTGTAATTATTGCTGCTTTAGACACAAAGATGCCGATGTAACCAGTGACCGGCAGTGACCCAGGAACTGCTGTCGAGCTCAAGCTAGACCTTTCCTGTCGTCCTTCAGCCGCTGCCCAAGTCCTGGCAACTGTCTCCAGGGGCCACAGGCTGAGGAGAGGAGGGTGTCGATGGGCGTGTGCTTGGAGGACAGATGACTGGGGGCAGGTGCAGGGACACGCTACTGAAAACAGGCCGAGTTCCCCTTCAGGTCTCACCAGAGCCGTTCACAAACCACTTAGTTGTATGCAGCTATCGTAGGACTGGAACAGTTAACCTGTTGCTACACCAGCGGTTGGACTTGTGGGGGTCATCGGATCAGCAAGGCAGGAGGCGGAGCAAGGTGGGTGGCAGTAATCCTCACAGGAGAGGAGAGGGAAGCAACTGGCCTTAACCTCACCCCTTACTTTCCTCACACCATATGTCACCTCTCAACTCGGTGACATATGGCAATGTCTGAAGACTTTTTTTAATAAAAAAATGTTTTATTGATTTCAGAGAAAGGGAGAGAGAGAAATATCACTGATAGAAATATCACTGATGAGAAGCATTGATTGGCTGCCTCCTGCACGCCCCTATTGGGGATTGAGCCCGAAATCCAGGCATGTGCCCTGACCGGGAATCAAACCAGGGAATTAAACTGCAACCTGCTGGATCATAGGTCAAGGCTCAACCACTGAGTCACATTGGCCAGAGCTGGAGATGTTTTTGGTGGTCACAACTGGGGAAGGGGGCATGCTCCTGGCATCTAGGAGGTGGAAACCAGAGATGCTGCGAAATATTTTACAATGCACAGGATCCCCCTCCCCACAAAGAATTATCCATTCCATGTCAATAGGGCAAAAGTTGAGAAATCTTTCTGTAAACCCACTGTCTAGTTTCTAGACACCAGTGTTCTTGGCAGGGACTTTGGGGATGGACAACATACTCTCCTCCGATCCCTGAAACCTCTAATTACTTAAAGTATGTGCCCTAAACCAATGGCTATTCAAGAAATATACATCACCTAACTTGGCACCACCCGTCACCAAGGTCACTTGTACCTCTCCCTTTACTCCAAAGCTCGTTTTGTCTCGTTTCCCAGTTATTGTTTCTGAACTTGAACAAGTTCACTGTGGCCTCCGGTTCTACAGAAAGCAGAACGCAGCAGACAGGGAGGGCAGAGCTGACAGAGTTATGATGAACAGCACCCCACTTCCTGGTGGTGCTATGAGAAGGAAACAGCCTGGTAGGGTGGAAAAGTGAAGAACCAAAGGCAGGAGCACAGGGAAGAGAGGGAACACGTGGCCGCTTCCTTTTCTGAAGTAAAAGCTGAAAGAGGGAGCTCTTGGGGTCCCAGGGTCTGTTTCTTCTACTTTGTCAACTCCAAGGCAGGGACGCCACAGGTCTGAATGGTGAAGCGATGAAGTGACGCAGGGAGGTGAGTGTCACATCTGCAGAGCTAGGGAAGCCTGCATGTAGTACCAGCCACACTCCTCTACTCACAGGTGCGTGACCCGGTGCAACTCAAGTAACCTCTGAGCTTTAGTTTATCTGCAAAAAGCAAAATCCACTCTTCCTCTATCCTAACCGCTCTGTGCAGGACTACAAAGCAGAGACGTGGCTACAGGAAGACGAAAGGTTGTGTGAGCAGGCGCTCGAACCCATTAGGTGGGGTCATTGCTATTTTGTCCTCAGAAGCACCAGAGAAAATGGGCAACATACTCCAGTGTCCTGGGAACCAGCCATATCTGATTTAAGTGAATTCTGTCCCGCTGTATTATCCCAGGTTCTCCAGAGAAATATAACCAATAGGACTATATATTATATGTATGTATTCTATTACATATTTAATTTTTTAAGTTTTATTTTTATTTATTGAGAGAGAAGGAGGGAGAGGGAGGGAGAGAGAAACATCAGTTTGCTGTTCTACTTATTTATGCATCATTGGTTGCTTCTCATAAGTGCCCTGACCAGGGATTGACCCAACATTGGCATATAGGGACGGTGCTTTAACCAACTGAGCTACCTGGCCAGGGCTATTACATATAATACATATGTATATACACAGAGATAACTTTGATTATAATTATTGTAATATGTAATACGCTATATATAACAGGTGTCCTATACTTTTGTTTTCTTTTGGGAAACTTGTAAAGTACGACCCAACAGAAGATAACAGATAGTCACACACCACTGAGAATTAACTTGTCCTCATTGAGTCGTATTTGCTACAAGTCCTTTTCTTCCCACAAATAGAGTCCTCTTTCCCTCCCCACACCATTCCCATGACCTTGCCCCTCCAGTGGGAACTTCCAGGTTTTTATACATTCACAATATAGGTACACCTCTACCAGTAACAAAGACTTTCAAACATTATACACCAACGGTAAGCTATTGCAATGGTGGTCCTGCAACTTGAATTCTGTCTTCTAGATGAAACGGAGTCTCCCAAGAGAACAGGAGCAACAGTAGGTAAGAGAAGACAGCCTCCTGGGATACAGAGTCCTTCAGACATGGGATGAAGCTCCCAGAGAGTTCATCTATTGCTGGGAACATCCTCATGGATATTTCTTTATACTTTGGTGATGGTTCAATGCAACACCTTTTGATGTGGGTGGGGCTGGGAGTCCTGGCTCTGCCTAATCAATAGTTGGGTTCCTTTGGAAGTCCTTCAGCTCTCTGACCCTCAGCTTGTACCTCTGTAAAGTGGGCATCATTCTCTCTCTCTTCAGTGGTACCTGTGAGCATGAGAGAGATACAGTGAGTTTTCAGCATGTCCCAGGAACAGTCAGTGGCAGACAATTAGGGATCAGAACAGGGCTCAGGAAACCAACTGGCCTCTCTCCTGCCCTCCCCTCACAGGGACCACTGAAATCATCCTCACTGTCACCTTCACCTTACTCTTCTTCCTCGCAGTCTTCCTCATCTGCAAATACACCTGCTGCGGTGAGTTCAGGGGAACAGTGGCCCAATCTTCTGGGGGAAACAGGAGAAACATAACGACAAAGCTACCACCACAGGGTTCATCCATCCTCTTCTCTTTTTTATCCCAGGGGCAGCTCTTAACAAGATGACCAAAAGGTAGACCACCTAAGAATCCCATCAGCCAACCAACGCGTTACCCTCCCTCGTTTCCTGAACTGCTTGATCATCTTTGTTATACCAACCTTTTATGTGCCCCAGACCAGCTCCCACAACCACCCCAAGCTCTCTCCATGTTCTCACCCATATATATCCTATATGCAATATGATTGCTTGGAGACCTGGGGGTGGGGTATCTGAGCTGGGAGTAGGTAGAGACCTTGCTTTGCATCTCACCTCCACCCACACAAGGATCTTGATTTCTCTCTCCAACTTCTTTATCTCCAATGCTTCACTGTCTCAGCTCCCGTTCCTCTAAGAAAGCTGAAGAAGTGGTGACAGGTAATCAACGAGGGAAAGAAAGTGGTGGTGGGTGGAGGGTCCATGTGTGGTGTGTGCACACTGTGGATGCTGTGTGCAAGTCTGCATATGCAGGTGTGCAGGTGGTACTTATGCATGTGTATATGTGAGTATGCATGTGAATATTGCATGCAAGCATGCATGTGTAGACCTGACCCCTGGAGCCTGGGGGTGAACCGATGGCAGAATCTTCTCCCTCCCAGGTGCACCTCCAGCTATGAAGGGCTGCTCTCCTGCCCTGGTGAGTTTCCCATCAGCCCCTTGCTCAGTCCAGGCTCTCCATCGCTCCCATTTAGTTTTGTCAATGGTCTGGCCTCTGCTTTCATCTGCCTCAAACCCTTCCTCTACATTTCAGGGGAACCTGGTCTGAACTCAACTGTGCTTCTCTGGCCATGGGACCTTCAGCCCATGATACCTTTTTGAGGACACTTCCCATCCCCTAAATGGGTTGAACTTCCTAACAGAATTAACGGGATGGTTTAATAAGCTCACAGCCACAGAAAGATCAGTAGGATGCCAGGTGTGGCATAAGCACTCACTGCCTTGAAGCTATTATTACAACTATCTGTGAGACCCAGGCAAGTCACATTCCCACCCTGAGCCTCAGTTTCCTCATCTGGATAATGGGGATAATAATCCACCTCTTGGTGTAAATATGGTAAGATCCCTCTCTGTAAAGCACCTACCACACTGTACACCACACAGCAGATCCTAAATCGGTTATTAGTAGCAATGTTAACAGTCACCCTTAATTTTTCCCTTTTTTAAAAATTTTGTCAAAATTCACATAACAAATTCACCATTATAGCATGCACAAGTCAGTGACATTTGGTATGTTCACAATATTGTGTCAGGATCACCATTATCTAGTTCTAGACATTTTCATCTCCCCAAAAGGAACCCCCAGGGGCACCCTTTTAGCAGTTACCTCCCTCCCCCAGGCCCTGGTGGCAACTAATCCGCTTCCTGTCCCTATGGATTTACCTATCTTGAATGCTTCCTACTAACCCTCATTTTGGTGACTGTTTGTATAAGTTATCTATTGCTGCATAACTGAGTCATCCCTAAATGTAGCAGCTTAAAACAACACAGGCCTCACATACTTGTAGGTGAGGCTCTGGAGGGGCTAAGCTGGGTCTCCCAGAGCTGTGAGGAATTATGGCCAGGGCCAAGATTTGCTTCCATACTCACCCAGGTGGTTGTTGCCAGGGTTCACTTCTTTGCTGGCTGTTGGCCGGATACCACTCTGGCAGTAAGGGCCTCTCCACAGGGCAACTCAGAACATGGCACCTGGCTTCACCAGTGTGAACGAGCCAGGGACAACAGAGAAGTGGGCATGAAAGAAGGCACAGTCCGTCGTTACCTCGTCTTGGACGTGACATCACACCTTTTTTGGTGTATTTTTGTTTTTGCTATATTCCTTTGATAGATGTAAGGCACTAGGTCCAGCTAACCCTCAAGAGGGGAGGGGAGCCCTGGCTGGTTCTTCTCAGTGGTTAGAGGAGACCGAAGGTCAAGGGCACAATTCCCAGTCCTGGTTGGGGCACATGCAGGAGGCAGTGGATGTGTCTCTCTCACATCGATGTTTCTCTCCCCACCCTTCCCCTCCCTTCCACTCTCTAAAAACCAATGGAAAAATATCCTCCAGTGAGGATTTAAAAAAAGGGGAGGGGACCTGCCCTGGCCATGTGGCTCAGTTAGTCGGAGCACTGTCCTATACACCAGAGTATTGGGTTCAATTCCCGGTCAGGGCACATATCTAGGCTTCTGGTTCGATCCCCGCTTCAGGCATGTATGGGAGGAGGCAAGTATGTTCCTCACCCACATCGAGGTTTCTCTCCCTTCCTGCCTGTCTCTAAAAACCAGGGTGAGGATCATAAAGGCAGAGGGGAGACCTGATCTTCTTCTTGCTTACCTTCAGGATGAGGGAACTCAGGAGCCAAGAGCTGAAGAACCTCAGGGAGGGACGTACGCTGAACTGAACCCCAGAGCCCTGAGCAAGGGCCCTTCCAGCCAGGTAAAGCAGCCTCTGGAAACCTGCGTGTACTCAGTCCTGAAGATAAAGACATAGCCAGGAGAAGATCTGGATCTGGGAAGAACCTCCAACAAGGGGATAGTCCCACTCTTGGGGGACTAGGCAAATGGGGATACCTTTCCTCAAAGCTCTAATTTAGACTTGTTTCCTTCTAAATAATTTTTTTTTTAAGTGAGAGGTATTACTTACACAGAATAATACGCCAAAAGATGACTCAGGATGGGGATTCTGGTCATGCCAAGATGACCAACCATGTGTCCGGCCGGAGTGGCTCAGTGGTTGAGCACTGACCTATGAATCAGGAGGTCACAGTTTGGTTCCTCGTCAGGGCACATGTCTGGGTTTTGGGCTCGATCTCCAGTAGGGGCATGCAGGAGGCAGCGGACTGATGTTTCTCTCTCTCTCTGAAACGAATTTTTAAAAAATATTAAAGACGACGACCAACCATGTGATTAAAGGTTGGAGATTTGAGCCAGGTTCTATCAGCCTGACATCTAGGGAAGAGAGGGAGGCTGCAGACAGACTCAGTCATGTGGGCAACAATTCAATCAGCCGCATCTTCATGTGCTTGGAGAGTGGACACATCCTGAGGATATAGGAAGCTTCACGCTGTGGGTGTCTCTTCATTCAGCTGGTACTGATTTGTATTCTTTATGATAAAATTGTACTTCTAAGTACAGCACTTCCGATCAGTGTCTCTCTCTCTCACATTGATGTCTCTCTCTCTCCCTTCCACTCTCTGAAAAGCAATGGAAAAATATCCTTGGGTGAGTATTAAAAAGAGAAGTGGGGGGAAAGACAGGCTCCTGGATAATATTTACTAGTACTTCCCCTGCACTCTTTCTGCTCTCGGCCAGCAATCAGTCAAATGTTGAAATTTCTGTATTTATTGCACAGCTTTTAAATTTTATTTCATAATTTCCATCATTTTATCTAACTTGGGAGAATTCCAGTCCATCATAGTACCAACTTGCTTGAGTTGTCCCCAGTATTCCTGGTGCAGGTGTAAAATGTCATCCACTATATTTTCATTTTCAAGACCTGTTCTTGTTTCTTGTCGTATCTTGTTCTTTTCCATAAATGCTCATTCTTTTCTTAGATCTGTTATCTCCTCTCATAACTCTGAAGATACGCTTATGAAAATCACATTCGGATCATAACAGAAATGACTCTGAGATGGAAGTTCTCTGTTTCATCTGCTCCCTGCACTGAGTTGGGCCCATCAGATCACAGATGAGTCATCTCCTCTCATTACAGCTGAGGCGCATCCTTTCATATGTGCCAAACTGTATATGTGATGAGGTAGGGGGACCTGTTTTTGTCCACTGCACTTCTCTGGGTGCTGGGGGGATCACTGGGCCTCTTTCTGGGCTGTGTATCTGTGGAATTTCTCAGTGCAGGGGTTCTAGGTATCCTTGGGCACCAGAAGTTTCCTGTCCCTTCCACTCAATTACTAAAACTCATGGCTCCTGCTGAGAATAAACCCCCTTGGCTACTATCTGGTCAAGTGCAATAAAAATAAACAGAAGTCTGGATCTGCAGATAGGATGGGTGAGGTGCATCAGAGGCAGTGGTTGCTCCCTCTACAACCTTGACCTTGCTCAATCTCCACCTTGGCCTCACATGGAACAGCTTTAGCGATGCTCCTACCCCCCCAATGTGTGGCTGTCCATGTCTACTTTAGACTGTGTTTTTCCTCTTCAATCAGAACCCACTTTTAATGTGTTTATTCTGAAATCATTATAGATTCACAGGAAGTTGCAGTAGTACAGATACTTGTCTCTCCATCCAGTTTCTCCCAATGGCTCCATTACTCACCCACTACAGTATCAAGGAAGGAAGTTGACCTGAGTACAATGTGTGTTCAGTTCTATCTCAGTTTATCATGTGTTGAGATTCATGTAACCTCGACAGCCCACACACTGATCTGGTCCATCACCATGAAGATGTCCCTCATGCTGTCCCTTTACAGTCACAGACAACTCTTTCCAACACCGCTCTTCCACCCTGGCAACCGATGATTTCTTCTCCATCTCCAAAATATTGCCATTTTCAACTCTCACACACACATACACACACGTGAACATTATTTAGCCATGAGAAAGGATGATATCCTGCCATTTGTGACAACACAGAATGACCTTGAGGACATTATGCTAAGCAAGATACACCAGGGAAAGACAAGTGTCTGACCTCTCTTATACATGGAAGCTAAAAAACTCAAAACTGTAAAAGAGAGGAAAATGGTGGTTACCAGGGGATTGAGGGTGGGGGAGGCACGTGAATAACACTGATGTCTTTTAGGGCACAAACTTGTAAGAAGTCATAAACGAGCCACAGAAACCATGCACAGTACAAACCTCGGTTCTAGAACATCTCCCATCTCGGACAGTTCTGTTCTTGACCAAGTTGTTCACAGGAAAAAATGCCTTGGTTGTTGTCGACCAAAACTTCAGTTTTTGACCTGACGACCCTTTCAAGCTGATACCTCAGCATGACAAAAAGCGTCTCTCAGGCAACGGACAAAGGAGAGAAGGCTTTTGAAATCGACCATTAGCCCAATTTCAAAATACAAAGAGGCCATCAAGAGTGCTGCTAAGGGGGTGAAAGAGCACACAAAACAACAATCACAGGCAACTGAACAGGTAGAAAAACTGGTTGATTTGGCTAAACTAGTATTTCAGAGGCAGTGATATATGAACAATTCATTTAAGGCTAGTAGGGGGGTGGTCTGGCACATTTAAAAAAAGCGTCTACTTATAGATTAAACAGTACATTAGACATGTACTGTATATAAAAAAAGATTTAAAGAGGGAATCATTTGTGGGTCCGGAACGGTTTCATTCAATTTACATTATTTCTAATGGGGGGAAAAATGATTCGGTTTTTGAACAAACTGCTTCTCAAACAGCCTTCCCGAACGAATTAAGTTCGAGAACCGAGGTTTCACGGCATAATAACAGACAACATTGTACAGTAAACCCTCATTTAACATCACAGGTAGGTTCTGTGACTTTAAGCAACGCCACATAACAGAAACCAGTTTTGCCACAGGCGAACTGATGTCAACAAGAGTTAAGCACCCAGGCGTCCTACCCACTTTATAACCAAACTACACTGCACAACGTGACGTCATTCGAGAACCTGCTATCTACCATTATGTAATAGCCAGCTCTAGAAGGAAAAACACCCCCTGGCATATCTGGGGTGCTCTTCTGGGGGCCACACCTGACCGAGACCAACAATCAATCAGTGGGAGGGTCTACGAGAAGCGCTACGGCTTAGGGAAGTTCTCTTACTCTACCTAAGAACTCTGCTCATAAGTTATTATTTATTATTCCCCTAGGGCCCACCTTCCCCCCCTTCTGCAGATGCCCCTCCATCCTGCCAGGCCGGCCGCGCACGGCGGTGCCGCCCTTTCTCCTCCCGGGACAAACCCTTTCCCGCCCAAGCACCCACCGCCCTTTCTCCTTCCGGGACAAACCCTTTCCCGCCCAAGCACCGGGCCGCCCTTTCTCCTTCCGGGACAAACCCTTTCCCGCCCAAGCACCGGGCCGCCCTTTCTCCTTCCGGGACAAACCCTTTCCCGCCCAAGCACCCACCGCCCTTTCTCCTTCCGGGACAAACCCTTTCCCGCCCAAGCACCGGGCCGCCCTTTCTCCTTCCGGGACAAACCCTTTCCCGCCCAAGCACCCACCGCCCTTTCTCCTTCCGGGACAAACCCTTTCCCGCCCAAGCACCGGGCCGCCCTTTCTCCTTCCGGGACAAACCCTTTCCCGCCCAAGCACCCACCGCCCTTTCTCCTTCCGGGACAAACCCTTTCCCGCCCAAGCACCGGGCCGCCCTTTCTCCTTCCGGGACAAACCCTTTCCCGCCCAAGCACCCACCGCCCTTTCTCCTTCCGGGACAAACCCTTTCCCGCCCAAGCACC